GGAACAAAACGACGGATTTCCTTTCTCAGCGAAGCTGACGAGAGACATAAACGGAAACGTATAAAATTAAACAACCGTAAAATGTCATTCTCGTAAAGTTCAAAATTCAGATACTTAAATCTTTAGATACGATTACTTTATAACTTATTTATATACTTAGGTACACGCTACTTATATATTCTTTGTGACAGTCTTTCTCAAAGTGTCAAAAACCCCCTTGTGGCCTCGAGAAGCTTACTCTCTTGTAAAGGATTCTGTAAAAATGGGAGATTTTGCAGTGGGAGGGAGGGTCATTGCTGATGTGTGGTTGTTGTATTTTTTTTATTTCTTTACAGTTTCATTGTATAAATAATATAGTTGTATAAGATAACAGGCCTTTTTAAAATTATAAAATAATAAGAGATTGGAAAATTAAAAAACGTTTGGACCTCCCCCTGTAGAATAATAAATTGACAAAGTTGCTGGTAGGAAAAAATAAGTTTGTTAACATCTGCTTTATGGTTATTGTTGTCGGAATATCATAAAAAGATATAGTAATTAAACCTCATACCTATAAACAATACACTCATAAACAACCATGCTTGACGAGTGACGCTACATAAGGCACGACGAGTATAGTTGTTGTTGAACTATTTTTCGACAGATCGAAATTGTTAACTCAATTTTCGAACGTTAGGAATCGACGCATTTATGATATTGTTTTACTCCCACTCCAATAAGAGAAATCCAATTACGGTACCTAACGATTGTACCAACATCGTGAGACGCTTCAAATAAACGAATTTGATAGAAATAACAGAGCAATTTGACATTTATTGTACACGTAATTGGGGTTCAGCTTTTTGGCAGATCAACCTTTTCTCCGACCCGACGAACAGAATTATTGCTGTAAAATTAAAACTCGTTTTGTCGGTAATGTGTTTTGTATTTTAGATGAATTCCGTCTCACGTAGTATAAAGAACTTTGACATTGACTAATGCTTCCTTAATTGAATTCAAATGTTATAGCCTCGGTGTGGCTTACCAAGAGAAAGTTTTTGAAATTCGATGTTCTGCCAAATCGTAAAGGAATTAGGGCGTGAAGCTACGTTTGAGGAATTCTCCTATTTTCGCTTCTAGATCAGTATGTGATATCATTTCTACCGTTTAACTGAAAGAGCTCGATAGCGCAAGTGGTTAGCGCGTTCGGCTGCAATCGTTGAAATTAAGTAACTTTTGCAGTGGTCGGTCATTGGATGGGTTTACTATCTCGAGCTCCTCCGTGCTTCGGAAGGCACGTTAAGCCGTTGGTCCCGGATGCATCGTGGTGGTTCATGGTGTCATAGCCCAATCTCACTATTCCATCCATAGGGAAGGCTTGTGCCGCAGCAGTGGGTAGATTAGTAAGTTGATGATGCTGATGAAACTGAACTGCTTAAATTTGCGCAAATCAGATTTTGTTCAATCAAATGATTTTAGTATAAAATACTGATATATTTTTTGTCTTATTTAATCGGCAGTGCTAAGTTGCTGTAAGATCGAACGATTTATTGTTAATATTTTTATTTTGGATAGATAGCGATACTTCGATTATTATAAAGCTACGTTATAGTACATAGTCAACAATATATTTTTTCATATAAGTCCGCTTATAATAGACCTGGAAATAAGCTTCACATGCAAATAATACGTAAGACTTTGTATATAACAACAATCAGACCCAAAAAAAGGGATATCTGAGCGCGTGCCTATAAAAACGACAATCTTTCAATATTAACAACGTAGCCCAGCAGATTGCATCATATGGCAGATTTTATGAAATACTAGGTATAAGTATAGCTTCCCTTTTTTCTAGTTACTATTAGTCTGAAAATGTTATATAATTTTCGCTCACAATCAATAGCATTTCTTTTGAAATGTGTGTTTTATAAAACTGTAGGTAATTGACATATGAAACTTTAATCAACCGACAGTAAAAATATCATTCCAAAATGTTGTACTACACCTATGTTTTATTTGTCCTGTTTGTGTACAGTTTCTTTTTATATATAAAGGTAGTAAAGCAAATTTTTCCATCCCGCCAGATTCATTTTGGAGTGGTGGTAGAGTCTGGACGCAAAGATAACTGATGCAGCAACTTTACCTGCCACACAAATCATCATCATTTTACGGTACTGAAAGTGCTTTTTCACGCCTACTTTAAAGGAACCCGGTTTTAAGATGAATGGAATACGTGCGCGGTCAAAGCATTCCATTATCGGCTAAAGAAATGAGTCACCAAATTTTTGAGGTCTAGGTTCCTACAATTGAACGTTACAAATGCTATGCTTACTTGTGATCATCCAAAAGTTACGTGGTAGAGATTCAGAAATCTATGGTGAGGCACCCAAGCCTAAACCTATTGCTGAAAGAAAAAACTAACCAGGGATATGTCTATTCTATTTTTTAATTACGTAAATATTTTTTATAGGTACTTTAAGTCCATGACTTGAATTTGCAAATGTCTTTATTGTCATCATTGATGACTGATGTTAAGTGACGATGAATTCCAGACGTGAAGATAGCTGGTACAGCAGTTCTACCTGTCACGCCAGTCATCCGCACCTTGCCGGCCTGCATGTTGCTTCTTCATGCCTCTTTTAAAGGATCCCAGAATGTAAGAAGGAGGGAACACGTGAGCGGGCAGAGCATTCCATTTACGGATAGTGCGACAAAAAAATGATTCACTAAATTTCTTTATACGTGGTAGAATTATGGCCACAGTTATACGGTGACAAATTAGACCAGCGCGCGTGGTCCTCTGAAGGAAAGGGGAAGGAGAGAGAATAACTCCTCAGAACACTCGCCTTAGTACAGACGATAGAACGCGCTTAATGACGCCACGTCACAGCGTAATTGACAAAATCTTGACGATGAGCAAAAACTTGTCAGTATTGCATAATTTAAGAGTCGTAGTTACACAGTGAAACATAAATCGATGTTGGAAAGTAATGGAATAGTTATTAGATCCTAGTCCTGGCATCTATAGTGACTTTCCTTTTAAAACGGATATACAAACATTGCTACATACATACACTGTAAATACGTGTTTAATTCACAGATAAAAAAGATAAAAAATCATCGATTCAATTCAGCAGGCAAATTTGTCATGGAAAACGAATTCCAAAATAAAAATGAAAGCATCAGATATTGTTCTCAATATAAGGGTAGCAGTAGCATATTCTCCGCTTCCGTTTCTTTGATGGGCCGTTATTAAAACGACTTTCCCGAAAGAAAGAGAGAATAGAATTCTTTCTACCGAACGAAATCATATTGGTTTCACATAACCACAATTGTAGATGATTTAAAATTAAAAGGGGTTGCTTGCCGCAGCGGGCTGCGAATGGAACTCTGGTTTCGATAATGTCTGTTTGGTCAGCTGTATTTTTATTTATTCAATAATCTTTAACGGCAGCCGATGAAAAGAACCCATCTGATAATGAACACTACGTGTTGATTTCTTATTTTATTTTAATGATTTACTATACTTATGATGACTGTGTAAATGGAATGCTCAATTTTGTCGATATCTTTTAAAAGATCATCGCTTTAAAAATATAAACATTACGAATTCGTGTTTAGTTAAGTTAGTTATTTATAATAATAAATTATTTCAATTATAGTTAAGTTATTTTCAGAGATATAAAAAAAAAATAAAGAAAGCCTCCAGATTTACCACGAGCGCTCAAAATGTGTACAATCAAGAAGTGCTTGAACGCCACTCAAGCACTTCTTGGTTCACAGACACGCGCGGACAAGCGCGGACCGTTGAAAAGTCAACATGCCGCAGAGCTCCGTAAAAAAATGCAAAACATATTTATACGAGTACGTAAAGTGTAGTATTTTCGTCAGGTATCAAATCAATTTTGTTAACTTGACACATTTGAAGCAAATTCTATAAACTAATTTAATAGAAAAAATTAAAACAATCAAACGCATCGGTCGGTTATTTCATCTCTCCTTCGCGCTCCATGCTTGCTATATTGCTAACAGCGCAATCAGAATTACGATATTAAGTCATAACAATCAGAATTACCATATGAAGTCAAAAAAATAAATTCTTTATTCTTCCGCCTATAACAAGATGTCGTAAAAATTAACGAGCTTGCATTTCGAACTGCTATAACTGTATTTGTCAAATGCGTTTTATACTATGACCTTGTATTCCATGCATTATGGTGAATTTAAATTATGAAATAATGTCTTATATTGTTTTCTTTAAGAAACCCTGTGATCGTTCAAAGTACCTTTTGGACAGGTTTCGACTGCGATTTTGTTCGTGATGTGGTATCTAGCTAGGGTTTTTAATATCGTTGAATACAAAAGTGATCAAGCAGGCCAGATACTTATATTTAGTTGAGGTTACTCTGGATTATAAAAAGTGAAAAATAAAAGAAATGTCCTTCCTCGACTGGGAATCGATGCAGGCGAGTGATCACTGAACCACTGATGATTGCTTATAAGGTCAGAATTTTTAATAACGAATAAAAAATGTGGAAGTTGGTTAATTGTTGTAAGGCAAAACACTACCTGCCGTTTAGCTTTAAGTATAAAATTTAACATGGAAAGGCAATACACAGTTTCAAATGACGGTTTCGTTGAAATAACTCAATGTGTCTAAAGAGAAGAACGTTTGAATAAATATTACAAGATGGGATTCCCTTTGTGAGGGTGATTTATGGGCCTGATTTGAAATACATAAGGAGACAGCGCGGCGCCGGGCGCGAATTGCGTTATCGTGCGAGAGTAACAATTGCGAACATACTGTAGGTACCTGTGTACATTCATAAGATTCGTGTAAAACTAAGGAGTTTTACAAAAAAAACTAGGTCGCCTCAGTCGGCGGAAGCGTTGATGCGATTCTATTTAAATTCCAAATGCGGCGCGCAAGTGCAGCGGGCGAAGGTATGCGTTCCGGTGCAGCAGAGAGGGCGCGATGTAGGTCAGCGAGTTTGGCCGGCGGCGGCGGCGGCGACACTTACGACATCGATGAGCTGACTCAGCTTGAGCTTGATGCAGACGCGCAGCACGTCGGTGGTGTTGACGACCGGCCGCACAAGCTTGTTGTAGTTAGAGAGGAGATCATCGTAGAGCCGCTTGGCGTCGGGGTTGCCGGCGGAGGCGGCGCGGGCGTGAAGCAGGCAGCCGGCCGCCAGCCACCAGACGAGCGCAGCCATCAGCTCGCGCGCGCGGCCATGGTCACGTGAGCTCGGTGCGGGCGGGCGGCCCGGGCGCGGCGCGGCGGTGACTGCCTTCCTGCGCCCTCTGCCCGCCGCCCTCCCTCATCCCCCGTCCCGCGCTCGCCTCGCGACTCTCATGCCCTCCTAACAATCACTGCCTAACGCAACGCGTCTCTTTTGTATTACTTCTTACCCGGTTTAATTAAACACGATGCAAAGATGCAAGGCTATGCCACCACCAATACGTATGACGTGTAAAATTAAAGTGTCCCATTTAACATGGCATGGCATGGCAGACGGGAAAATCATCTATGAAATGTAAAATTCAAATGAAAAATAAATAAAATTTCTTAAAATTACGTAAAATATGTAATCATTCACTATCATTATTGCTGGTAGAGATTGCTACTTTAGCAATTAGGTCTACTATCTTTTTTTAATTTCTGTGTTTTTTTTGTGTTTCTGTAAAACTGTCGTGTGCAATAGAGAATATTAATTTATTTATTCATTAAATTCGTGGAGTTATTGCTTGCACCGACGTACTACAGGCACGGCGTAATACTAAATCTAATGGAAGTCAATAGCACACACCTTGAGTACAACCACTTCACACGATGAATACACAAACACCAAAGCAAGTAACACTGAAATCAAGTAATAGGTACTTCGAAAGCATATGAAAAGTAAGGAACTATTAAAGAAGGATCATCACTCATAAAAAATGTAATAACAACTTACTATCCCTTTTACCGTAATCGTTCTCTTGAGAGTATCCATATTCACAAAAGACGCGGCATTATTCTTATCTTTTTTGCTAAACGTCAATCATAAGTTTCGTAACATGTTATCATGAAAATAAAAATGTCCTGTATTCTGGATCAAGCCCGTTCCAGTATCGACGTGTCCCACAGCCAACCCTTGACTAAGCCCCAGAGCTATCCTTTAACTGAAGGGTTGACTTCAATCGACGTGGTTGATTCAATGGCTTGAAAATGTCACGAAATAAGAGTTGCTATGTTAATTTTTGCTTCCGTATTGAACGATTTCTACGCAGTAAAAATATGTAGGTATCTATAAATGGAAGTTCCGTAGTTTTTGTTTTGTTAGAGGGTAGGTATTACATATTAACGTAGATATATAATAGTTTTCCGGTCTGGACTGACGGCGTATAAAAAACAAATAATCTGCTTTATTCCAAGAGTATATCATGGTCTAACATTGCTGTGTATTAAAAACCTATTAACGGATACGAGTTTCGAAATAATTTTAGGCGATGAGCTAGCAATCTGCCACTTGATTCTGAAATCCGAATATCACCTTAAAGCCGACACAACCGAATCTGAGGAAATGCTTTTGCCTTTGAAGATGGAATTCAGTAATGGAATTGTGGATATGGTAATGACATTCATCCGTCTCATTGTGACGTACAACCCCACAAAGGATATTTATGGTGAAGTGATGCGTAAATTTTCAATGCAACACATTTTTTTACTCACGTTCATTTAGCACTGAAACGAAAAATCCATGTCTTTTTCTCTCCATCCCGTACGACATCGTTGACAAAGACAAAAGAGTGAGCAAGATGAATACGCCTACTTAATGTTAAACGTCAAACGTTTGCCGTAAGCCAACATTAAACATTACTCGAAATGTGCCGAATGAAATGTGCCACCTTATAAAACCACCGATACAATTAATTCTCTTACATTTTGCAATTAATAAAAAGAATGCGTTCCGTGCAAATTGGACGATGAATGACGGGGAATTGCAATATGAGTGAAATTTCATTTTGGTTAACTGAGAATTTTTAACGGAAAATATAATACTTATTCACACCGAGACAGCTAGGGCGACACCAGATTACAAAGCGTTATGATAAACGAGTAATTCCCTCCCCGCCATAAATGACAAGATGTAACGGCGTCTACGCGGCAGAATAATTACCTGCTGTGTTGTTACATTACTAGCTTTTACGCCCGAGTTCGTTCGCGTAGTTACAGCTTAAAATTGCAAATCCATACTTATAATATAGATGCACCTATGTTTATTAAAAACAAACTTAAATGTAACTTGCATCACATGTATGCATTGAAATAATCGTGTGTTATTTTAAATTGGCATCTAAATCGCTAATCAAATTTTTAATAATTTATAATACCTATAGTGAATGTGATACATTTTACTTTGAAGATAGGCAAAGGTTTTTATCATTAATTTAAACAAACATAATATATGAAAGCAAGCATGCACGTAATTGACACGCACCGTCAACTTATGTTACTTTCTCACTATTTAACAAAACTATTTTTTTACAGTTATATTTTTCTTTTTAAACATGTAACTGCTTGATGTTTAAATCTAAATAAAATATAACTAGAAAAAAAACGAGTCCCGTCTGCTGCCTGGTCCGCGTGGTTTTTTTTCTAGTTATATTTTCTTTAGATTTAAACATCAAGCAGTTACATGCTTAAAAAAACTATAATTGTTATCTCTCCTTTCAAATGTTTAATACTTGTAAAAGTATTCATTTGACGTTGTGGGTTACTTATAATGCGAAGAGATGACGCTGCCTTGCAGCTTAAGAATGGATAGAGGAATTTCGACGCGGCCATCAGGGCCGCGGTAGCATAATTGGTCAGTGCACTCGCCCGGATAGCGAAGGGTGCGGGTTCGAGTCCCGTCTGCTGCCTGGTCCGCTTGGAATTTTCTTACAATAAGGGCACGTTGGAATTATTCAAAATTTTAAACGATACGCCTTTTTTTTGTTTCCTCCCAGGCGTCGGAGCGGATGTGAAATCCTCACAGATACTACAGCCGGCTGCAAGGTTATGCCTGACTCCTACTGACTAAAACAAACCCGTAGTTCATGCTTACCGTCGGAAGTGTCTTACAAGCTTCATCTGAAGGGATCATCTCCTGAGAGGGGGTTGCTGCAGACCCATACGCCGATAGATTCAGCTTTAAATGGCAACAGACTGCTAAGACGCTATAACTTATAAATAGTAAATAGGATAAAATTTCTCCATAGTACATAAACAACCTATATAAAAAAACTATCACGTGACAGCCGGTTTCATCGTTTAACTGCAATATCGTCCAGTCACTGAGCAAGAAACAACCAAAAGATAGGAAAAAGGGAAAGGCTGTGCGCAATATTAAAGGATAAGTTAATTTTTGGAGTTTACTCCTTAAGAATCGATTTGCATATATAAGGGGCCCGGTATGAGAAAAATGTGAGGAGTAAAATCTATCGATGAATGACCTCGTTACGTTTTTGGTGCGCATCCTATGTCGCGCAACTTTGTCAAAACAAAGATGACGGATTGACATTAATAAAATTTTTAAAATCTGAACTGAATTTAGATATTGTTTCTGATAGAGCAATTGGGACAACGAGGTATGGTGCAACCATTGATGCGGTATTTTCAAGAATCGTGAACCACGTATCTACGAACGTCCATATGTCTTATTTTAGTTACCATAAACCACTTGTCACTGTAATTAATAATGCAGACAATGTTGATTTAATTAATTTTTAAATAAAAATATAATAGTCTGATAATAATAATTACATAATTTATCAACATTCCTAATGATATATTTATGCACATCTGAAATTGACTATTGTAAAAAGTTTAATGTAAGATATTTCGTCGATTAGTTATAATAAATGTATATGAAATGAATAATTATATATTTATATTATTTTCATTAATTTGTTAATTTACCCTTTCATACAGTATCAATCTTTTTTAAGTTAAATAAACTCTTTTTGCGTCTGGTTAGACTATCGAACTTAAGGAGTAAACTCCAGTTGTGCGTCGGAGCTGACACACACATTTTTTTTCCTATATATTTTTGAAAGAAGCGAAAGATTTAAATACTTATACATAATTTTCATTGTGATTTTTAAGTTCAAGGTTTGAGTAAACCATACTTTATGGTAATCTAATTAAGTAACAAATATGTTAATCACAATATGAATCTCGATAAAACACAAATTTACATATAAAACGTCTGAAGCAAGCAAGCCGCGATTACGTTTGATTGGAAATTAAATGGTAAGAGCGATTTCAATTTAAGTGAATGGTAAGTAATTAATTTCGGAATACAATTTGAAAGTAAATTAATTACAGAAGTATCGGTGACGGAAAGCTCGTAATCGGCCGAATTTGGACAAACAGTTTAATAAATAAAATTCCCTTGATGGAGAACTGAATCGTCGTTAATTACTCTGTCTGTCTCATAATAGATTGGATGTTTTGAAATTACTGCTATGGGTTTGGCGAAAGAGGTTAAATTTTGGGTTATTTGTATTTAATTATCTATTCTGTATTTAAGTGTGATTCCTATACAATTAAAATTTCTAAACTTATGTATATAAGATACCTTCTAAATTAGTTTTTTTTAATTCTTAGTAAAAATTATCGTACCTTTACTTTTATGGGTCTGCCAATAGTGTTAGTTCTAAGTTTATGTCCCGTAACAACAGAACATTCAGTTCATCAAAAAACTTTTTATCGAGGGTAACTCAGCGTGAAAATTCCCTTTCATGTGCGGTGAAGTGTATTTCTATTGACAACTCCTTTGTCGCCAGTTATAAACCAAAAGTTTGGTTTATGCACCGTACAGACACAAATATAAAACTGCACATCTATATATAAATCTTTCCATAAACTAATACAAAATAAAAGTCATCCGACTGTCTGTTTTGAATGCACGGCGAAGCCACTGCATCGATTTTAAAGAATTTTGGAATAGAGATAAAAAAATCTTAAAGGGGTTGATTTAGGGGATTAATCTTTGTATTGGTAATCGATTTATTATACGTAGATATATGACTGCGGACATCTACTGATTACTAATAGAAGAAGAGTCAAAAACCAGGAGAAGAAAACCAGTAACATTTATTCCCGTCTCAACAAAAAATTATCATAAACTTTATTCGACAAAATTTTATTACTTGGTCCAAATATCAGAGTATCAGAGTTGATTTTTTCCGAGTAAATTTTTCTAGTATATGGAATATAATTTACCCG